CCCCAAAACCCCAAAACCCCAAAACCCCAATTCACTTTCATTAAACAGTAAATTAAATTAGATAATATGGAAACTAAGAGGAGTAATAGAGGAAGAAAGATGAGGTTTAGAGTTATGGATGTAGGATTGGTGACGGTGATGTCTGTGGGGGCTTGTTGAGGTGGATTTGGGGTTTTGTGAAATTTTGAGTTTTTTTTGCTGAGATGGGCGTTAATTTGTGATATAGAAGATTAAGGTATTACTAAAAAGTCAAGGATTGAAGGTAAGTTTCTAACAATGGAATTGGAAGTGTGATAAGGACGAACTTGGACTTATTATATATTTTGATATATGATGCTTTTGATAAGATTAAACACTTGTTTGGAATAATTTTATTATTAACTAGTTTTAGCAGTTTACGATTATTTATTTTATCTTATCTCTATTTCCCTGAATGCATCAATTGTTTCATTTAGATAAAATTAAATGGCAAGAGTAAATTATTGAAAGTGAACAGAAGAAGGAAGCTTCAAAGCCCAGCCCCCACAAATCGAACATTCTTTTCAGCCAGGAGGAAGGCTTTTGGAGTCAACAAAAAGTGATTATTTTCTATTTTAGAACAATATCTAAATAAGGTCTTTAATTTTAAGTTACTTTAATTATGAATCGAATAAAATAGTCAAACTTCTTTAGTTCCTTGACATCAAAGATTATCAAGAAGAAGAACATCAAAAATAGTAAAGAGAAGTCTAGGCTCGCTAAATAATTGTTCTGTTCCTCAGACTTCATTAGATACTTTTACATCTTGAGTGGATGAAAATTTCGAGGAAGAGAAGCAGAGATATGTCTCTATTATGCTAAAGGCTCAAAATGCTATGAGCAATAGACAAGCAGGGTTTATGTCTCCAAGAATTCTCAGAAATTTCTTGATCACGAAGAAGTCTTTTAAGAGCTTAGGTAAGGTTCTAAATTTCTTCATGCTTCATAAGGTTCATGACTAGAAATCCCGGTTTAATTATGGAAAATTTAATTTCTAATATTATTATAGAGAACAGCAGCGAAAGAAGTGCATCTACTCGCACAGAAAACTCATTTCCATGCAGTGAGGTCAAGGAGAAATCTGACTATAGGATAAGACAGGAGACTCCTTTCAGAGGCAAGAAGAGTACATTTGCATCCAGAAGGATGACTTAAATAGTCTTATTCTTAAACATTGCTTTAGTCACCGACTTTTGTAGTTTATATCAAAATTAGATATTTCAGGTCATGATTTAAAGAGAGCAATAGTATCGATATCAAATTTTATTTAATGTGTTTTACATAATTTTTAGAATTAGGATCAGTTTAATAGGGTTTGCTCCCTGATTGGAATCCTCATGCTCCAATTTGTGCTAATTAGGCCTGGATATAGTTTTAGCGTATTTTTTGGATTTATGAAAAATTAAGAGCTGAATGTAAATGCAAGGTTATTAATAAGCTCCATTATTTTTAGTTTTCTAAAAATACGAGAGCTCCTATTTAACTAAACAAATAGCTTAGAAAGCCATTATCCAAGTCTTATCTCGATTTCCTACATCTTCCATCCAATTCTAAAAATAATTTCTTCACTACTAACCCTCCTTTCTTAACCTCCCATCTTCTACAAAAATCCCAAAACCCAAAAATAATCCCCTTTCCAAAACAATCCCTTAACCCCCTAAAACCCCCAAAATTATCCTCCTTCCCTCTCCACCTCCCCAATCTCTCCCACCTCCAAACCCTATTCCCCAATTTTTCTTAATCTCAATTTCTTATTCCCACCCAGGGGTTTTGGGGTTTTGGGGTTTTGGGGTTTTGGGG